TGCCTGCACCAAATAATAACAAATTAGAAGGAATTTTTTTTTTTTTAAATACAGATTTCAGTATTCTGTATTCAGTATTATACAATTTAAAAAGAAATGGATAGGGTTAGGCTTAGGGTAAGATATTGAGTAAGAAAATGTTTTTATGAACCACATAGCTTCCATGACCCGACCGGACAAAACGACGTGGTGCAGGCACGAAACATACTACCAATAGAAATACATTGCTTTTAAAAGTCGTTCTGTGTGACACGAAAAAAAGGGGAAAATCGTGTTGGTGAACATGAATCAATAGATTAAATTCATTTTGTGACTATAACACGAAATGCTGTGAGACTGGGTTGTACAGGCAGCAGGTTTTATGTTGAATCAATTCTGTTATTTCATTTAAATCCGAATCAGTTTATTCCTGTGTCGTACAAACATACTGGACTCTGATACGATACGATAATACTTTTATGGTCGGATCAAGTCTGAAATGTATCTTGCATCACAGCAGCTCCATTTGTAGCATCAACAAGAACAAATATCAAGACACAAGACAAGAAAATACAATAACCAAACATCACAATCCCTGAGAGAAGAAGAAAATCTTACGTTAGGATAAAAGATGAATTCCAACATGCTAACTATTAGCATTTAGCTCAAGTACAGCTTTACAAGAATGACAATGTGACTAAAATGGCCGCTCTACATCAGATACGTAACAACTTGGTAAATCTAGGTTAAAGTTTGTTAGTAGTTAGTAGTGTTCGTAAGTTAGGTATTCATCCAAAAACAAGTGAATGGCTGCTCGTTACATCAAAATCACAGTTTGGCTTGAAATACCTACGTTTCTCCGTCATTTAAAATAAAAATAAAACTTTGACTTTCTATTTCTCACTGGAAACAAACTCATAGCGGCAGAAAATCTTACATTAGAATTCCAACATGCTAACTATTAGCATTTAGCTCAAGTACAGCTTTACAGGCATGACAGTGTAGAACAGAGTCGAGTCTAGAGTCACAAATGGCCGCTCTACATGAGATAAACCCAGGAAAAACATAGCATTTCATTTGTTGCAACCATCAGAACAACCATTACATTATGGGGTGGTTAAAGATCTGCGAGTTGTGAAGTTGTTCCTCCATCTTTAATCAATCTCATCCAGCTGTTTTGGTTTCTTGGAAAGACTTGAACAGCAGATTTGCAGCTCATCATGTCGTGTTTTCTCATATCTGAAGCCTCATTGCTTCTGAATCAGATGCAGTGAAGTGTCATCCCATCTTTCCTAACATTACCTCCTCTTGAAAGTGACATTACACTCTGCCGTGTTTCTCAGAAAATAAGAACCTCTCATCCGACTCTCTGTTAGATTCCCATGATCCTCAGCTCCCTCTGAAGTCTGACTGCAGGTCATTACTGTAAAATCACATCCATTCAGATCCTCTGCTGCCTCCCATTTGTGTTTAAAGGCCCCCTATCATCCTCTTCTTCAACAATATATCACAGCTCTCAGATATACTCAGAGCCTGTCTCTGATTGGCTGAAACACCAAACAGATCATTGCAGCATCCCATAATCCCCCTCTGAAGAAGAGACATGAAGAAGAGGGGACACATGTTGATGAAGAAGAGACATGAAGAAGAGGGGACACATGTTGATGAAGAAGAGACATGAAGAAGAGGGGACACATGTTGATGTAGAAGAGACATGAAGAAGAGGGGACACATGTTGATGAAGAAGAGACATGAAGAAGAGGGGACACATGTTGATGAGAAGAGGGGACACATGTTGATGTAGAAGAGACATGAAGAAGAGGGGACACATGTTGATGAAGAAGAGACATGAAGAAGAGGGGACACATGTTGATGTAGAAGAGACATGAAGAAGAGGGGACACATGTTGATGTAGAAGAGACATGAAGAAGAGGGGACACATGTTGATGAAGAAGAGACATGAAGAAGAGGGGACACATGTTGATGTAGAAGAGACATGAAGAAGAGGGGACACATGTTGATGTAAGAAGAGACATGAAGAAGAGGGGACACATGTTGATGTAAGAAGAGACATGAAGAAGAGGGGACACATGTTTGATGTAGAAGAGACATGAAGAAGAGGGGACACATGTTGATGTAAGAAGAGAATGAAGAAGAGGGGACACATGTTGATGTAAGAAGAGACATGAAGAAGAGGGGACACATGTTGATAGAAGAGGAGAGACATGAAGAAGAGGGGACACATGTTGATGTAGAAGAGACATGAAGAAGAGGGGACACATGTTGATGTAGAAGAGACATGAAGAAGAGGGGACACATGTTGATGAAGAAGAGACATGAAGAAGAGGGGACACATGTTGATTGTAGAAGAGACATGAAGAAGAGGGGACAACATGTTGATGAAGAAGAGGACCTGAAGAAGAGGGGACACATGTTGATGAAGAAGAGACATGAAGAAGAGGGGACACATGTTGATGTAGAAGAGACATGAAGAAGAGGGGACACATGTTGATGAAGAAGAGACATGAAGAAGAGGGGACACATGTTGATGTAGAAGAGACATGTGTCCCATGTGACAGTCTGAACCCGGGAGGCTGCGCTGAAACAGTCACATAAAAAGAAGGAGTCGCCTATTCTGTATGTGATTTGATTCACAAAACCTCAAGGATCACATCATCTAATACTGAACATCAAGCAGTTTGAATAGATTTAATATCTATTCTGAGGGTAGTTGGCTAAATTGACAAGACTTCACGTCACCACCGCTAAGCTAAAGGAGGCTAATGTTGGGCTATAAAGGAACTACAGCACGGTCACATGACTTCACGTCACCACCGCTAAGCTAAAGGAGGCTAATGTTGAGCTATAAAGGAACTACAGCACGGTCACATGACTTCACGTCACCACCGCTAAGCTAAAGGTGGCTAATGCTGGGCTATAAAGGAACTACAGCACGGTCACATGACTTCACGTCACCACCGCTAAGCTAAAGGAGGCTAATGTTGAGCTATAAAGGAACTACAGCACGGTCACATGACTTCACGTCACCACCGCTAAGCTAAAGGAGGCTAATGTTGAGCTATAAAGGAACTACAGCACGGTCACATGACTTCACGTCACCACCGCTAAGCTAAAGGAGGCTAATGTTGGGCTATAAAGGAACTACAGCACAGTCACATGACTTCACGTCACCACCGCTAAGCTAAAGGAGGCTAATGTTGAGCTATAAAGGAACTACAGCACGGTCACATGACTTCACGTCACCACCGCTAAGCTAAAGGAGGCTAATGTTGGGCGTGATGACATTCAGTCGTCTGATTTAGACACTTAGCAACCAATGTTTTTAATTAACCTGTGGGGTATTTATGTCGTTGAACAAAACATTAAAATCTCTTCAGCTTGCATATGAGTCACTGGATTGACTTTTTCAGCATAGCATTAGCAAGTAGACTCTAGGGATGTGTCTTGAAATGGAAATTAGTGTGCAGGTCACTTTTCTTTATATATTCTGTAGTTTCTCATTAAACGGTTATTTTTGTTGAAAAGACCTTTAGAAAACCTTTCAAACAGTTGTTTTTATAACAAATATCTTTCATGCTAAATATTCCGATGCTCTTCACATTGCTGTGTTTGTTGTGCCTCCGGTGTGTTAGATCTCAGTCCCTGGTCCATTTTTAAAGTTCAGAAATATATTATTTAAACCTGTTTTGCACACTACTGTATATGCCTCTCTGGAAGAATGATGTTGGAGGACTGATGCTCACATTTTGAGGAATAAACTCAAGAAGCACGTCTTTGCAAACACCCGAGACAGATGGTTAACGTCTTGGCGGTAATTACAGGACCTGGAATCACACTTTGACTTTAAACCTTTTAACCTGACAGAATGACATGTTTTTAAAACCAGCTGCAAATCCTCGTGACTTCTGTTTACCGGTTCTGTCTCTTTTTTTTATTGGATAGAGGGACATTAAATACAGGAATCAAACAAAGGGTACTTCTTCTATTATGGTAAAGAAAACAAACATTAGACGAGTTCTTGTTTAACTCTAATTATGATTGGTTGTGTAAAGCACAATGCAGTTAATTTCATTCTCAGATCATTTGAATGCTGCTCGTGTTAGATTCAGGTTATCTATAATTACACCTTGGGAAATAATTGGGTTTCTCAGTCAAACATCAATGAAGGAAACTTCTTAATGGCATCTGTTGACACTGTCATTTATTTTCATGTGTCAGAAAACTGCTCTTAATTAATTTTTGCAAAGGATGTAAACATAATTTACTTCATCAGGTGCTGTGTTGAAATGCACTCTTATTCTTATATACACTTAACTTGTGGCACAACTCTTAACAAATCTGGTTTAATCAGGAGTATCTTGGAAAACAGAAGTCACTCAACCTCTTCTGATTAACGCTTAATAATAATCAGATTCCTTTATTCGTCCCACAGGGGAGGAGTAGTAGTAGAACCTTCATTTAGCCAGGAAAATCAATTAAGAACAAATTCTTATTTTCAATGATGACCTGACGTAATGTACGTTGTTACAGGAAAAGTGTCGCAGATGTAGAAAGTGTGGACTCAAAAGGATGCAGACACAGGTTTAAAGCACACAAACATACTGTGTTTCCAAAGCAAACAAACAATCACCGGGAAACAGACGACGGGAGGAAATGTGCGACAAACACATGAGGAAGACAGACTATCAAAATGAAACCCCAGAACTAAACTAAACATCAAACATGAACGTGAATAAAACTGAAACTTGACAAACATTTCACACAGTTGTCGGCGCACAACAAAAATTGAAGATTAACTAAATAAAACACTGTGAAATAAAGGGAATGCACATAATCTTTCAAATGGAAATGAAAGGTTTGTAACATTTAGAATGCAGTGTCGTAGAAGCTAGATATCAGAGGTAACATTACATATTGCACAGAGCTACCTTACAGTGTTAAAATGTATATATATTAATAATATAATAACATTGATGATGTCTTTGTCCCGCCTCCTGCAGGAAATCAGCGACACGGAGATCCTGGAGCTTACCCACAGTGCACTGGGGCGGATGACGGTGATCCGGCAGATCTTCCCGCTATGGCGCGACAGCAGCACCCGCTGTATGAGGCGCAACCATCGGATATCCTCCCTGCTGTGCGACCCGCAGGAGGGATACATGCAGAACCTGGAGGTACAGCTCTTTAAACATTACATGTAACTGATGCTTTTATCCAAAGAGACGAGGAACAAGTTGAGCTCAATGCATGGATGGATGGACTGACTGATGAATGGATGGATGGACTGACTGATGAATGGATGGATGGACTGATTGATGAATGGATGGATGGATCGGTGGGTAATCTATAAAAGACCAATCTACTTAGAGATAGAGTAGTATATATCTTACAAATGTTCGGCGGTATTTGTTTTCTGTGAGTTAGTAATGGTCTAGATGAGAGACTTCATTGTATTTTAAAAATGATAAAAGGATATATCAGTCTTGCATACATGCAGAACCTGGAGGTACAGCACCTTAAACATTACCTTTAACTGAAGCTTATATCCAAAGTGACTCGGAACAAGTTGAGGTCAATGGTTGCATCGACGGACTGATTGATGAATGGATGGATGGATCGGTGGGTAATCTATAAAAGACCAATCTACTTAGAGATAGAGTTATATATGTTACTAATGTTCGGCAGTATTTGTTTTCTGTGGGGTAGTAATGGTCAAGATGAGAGACTTCCTTGTTCTTATATCCAAAGTGACTCGGAAAACGTGGAGGTCAATGGTTGCCTGGACGGATGGATTGGTGGATAATCTATAAAAGACCAATCTACTTTGGTAGAGATAGAGTACTGGTTGGTTGGTTGGTTGTAAGGTTGTAAGGTAGGTTGGTTGGTTGCTAACGCTAACCCTAAATACCTTAACCTGTTAAGCCCGAGAGATCCCGGTACCGGGGCACTGCCGCAACATCTTGCAGGAAACAGTGTCTGAGGGCATGTTCATTTAATAAAACTATGAATGTTTTATATCCATGTAACGGGAAGAAACTCATCTAACTGATCATTTTTATTTTTTTTTCAAACGAAAACCCACAATGCTAACACTGAGCCTCTGAATTAGCAACGAGCGAAAAATGCTAACACCTTACTGCACCGAAAATCACTCACAAAACCTTATTATTTATCTTTTCACCACATCCAACACATCGATTCACATCGTGAGGTGACACAGAATCGATTGACACCGACATTACCACTGAATTATACGTATTTGCGACGTTATAAGCAAAAACGGACATCAAAACAGGTGACGCTAGGTAGCTAAAAATGCTAACATTTTTACCTTGGCTCTGTAGTCTCTCCAAAGTGGTCTTCAATGGCATTAAAACAATAAAAACGCTGCTGAGGTTAATCCATAGGTTAATCTAATGTGTCTGTGTCCCTTTGAAATGATTTCTGATAATCCATAAGCATTAAAACTGCTTTTCCGTTTCCAGATGTCAGAGCGAGAGATAGGTTCACTCTGATGGAAAATTACATGCGCGAAGCCCCCACCTTTTCTCTTCACAACGTGTGTGTGAGGGACTCCCCCTTCGATTCTATTGGCTCTAACGGTCAGAAAGAGGTGTCAACCATCAAAATCGAGCAAGGGGGGCCAGAGATATGGAAAATCCACCCAAATGACCCCAGAAGTGGTTTATTTTTGCTAAGTCTCTCTAAAAAGGTCAAATGTCACTTGTTTTGCATCAATCTTGATACAGGGTACTTATTATATGTTGTACTTTGGATTCCTAAAGCTTTTAGTCTACCTTACCATCATCCAAGGGTGGTTTTCACTATAAGTAAAAAATAATTTTTGGACGGACACTATAATTTACAGTTTTTTACTATGTAAAATCTGAATTTTCTTTAAAATAAAAAACATCTATATTGATTCTGACTTTTCTACATCCAACTCACAGGTTTATCATTACTTTGAGAAAAAAGATTATTAATTTAACCCTTTTAGAAGGGAAGATATGGTCATTTGTTCTGGGAATGTCATTTTCGAGCCTGAGACCTGAAAAACAGGCTCAGGGCTTAACAGGTTAAATATCCTCTGTGGTTTACACAGTTTTGTTCTACGTCATTAAATATTCAACTCTTTATTAGGAAACTTTAACCTATGTTAGATAAGGTGGTTGCTATCATGTGGCTAAACAGGACAAGAGAGGTTGTAGATCTATAAACTCTGCCAATAAAACACTATTGAAGGGCTTTAGACACAATATAAAGCACTTATTTACATTAAGTGTCCAGTTCACCAAGTCCACGATGCACACAGCGCACTGAAAGAGATAATGAAAAACACATTTCCTCTACCTGGAAATTGAGTTAGTGAAGTGAATGGAACATTTCTGATATATATAATTACCTGCAGGCGGGGATTTGTGTTCTCAAACTTCTAATTTGCAGGCTTAGTATGTTAGGAATTATGTTTGTCCTTGAATTACTAAACCATGCTCTCAAATAAATGTTTCCACTTCAGGCGGTTTTCACCATGAGAGAAAGTCCTTCATGAAATATGAGAAGATATTCAACAAACATTCACGTCTGTGTTCCAGATAAACGTGCTTCATTATGAGCGTGAAGGCTTCAGGGAATTCATTGAGTATTTTGAAACCACAATTCAGTCTTTCAAAGGCACATATTTATAACTTGAAGGGACAAATTAAATGATTAGAGTACAAATGATTAAACTAGAATGAGAGCACAGACCTCAAACCAAGGCCTTTTTTACCTGAGTGGAAAATAATGCCTGTACCCTGTAATTGAAATCCTCTCCGAAATGTAATGGCTTCTTCCTTCACCAATGCTACACCTGTGCACAAAATATGACAGAAAAGCAGTTCTTCATTCCTCCCGCTTACAAACTGAAAGCATGACCTCCACTGGCAGAGCTTTTTATAAACGGATCATTTGAGGATAAGTGATTTTAATTTGCGGGGAATATTTCTCCAAGCTTTTCCCTCTCCTCGTGCTTTTTCAATTTCCCCTTGGGACTCCATGGTGCAGCGCCCAGAGACCAACAAATCTCACAGGGACACACACCCGTAAATCCATGAAAGCATCCATCAGTTCAGCCGCACACACACACTCAGTGCAGAGAGTCAGAGGAGATGTCAGCTGCATTTAAACCAGGACACACAGAGACTCAGAGGCATGCATCGAATCAGGAATCAGGCTCCTTCCTATTTATCAGAATCAGAATATCTTTAATGTCATCACTCCAGACCAGGGGACACTAAAGAGTGACGCACACAGCTGGGAGACCAGGGGACACTAAAGAGTGACGCACACAGCTGGGAGACCAGGGGACACTAAAGAGTGACGCACACAGCTGGGAGACCAGGGGACACTAAAGAGTGACGCACACAGCTGGAGACCAGGGGACACTAAAGAGTGACGCACACAGCAGGGAGACCAGGCGACACTAAAGAGTGACGCACACAGCTGGGAGACCAGGGGACACTAAAGAGTGACGCACACAGCTGGAGACCAGGGGACACTAAAGAGTGACGCACACAGCTGGGAGACCAGGGGACACTAAAGAGTGACGCACACAGCTGGAGACCAGGGGACACTAAAGAGTGACGCACACAGCAGGGAGACCAGAGGACACTAAAGAGTGACGCACACAGCTGGGAGACCAGGGGACACTAAAGAGTGACGCACACAGCTGGAGACCAGGGGACACTAAAGAGTGACGCACACAGCTGGGAGACCAGGGGACACTAAAGAGTGACGCACACAGCTGGGAGACCAGGGGACACTAAAGAGTGACGCACACAGCTGGGAGACCAGGGGACACTAAAGAGTGACGCACACAGCTGGGAGACCAGGGGACACTAAAGAGTGACGCGCACAGCTGGGAGACCAGGGGACACTAAAGAGTGACGCACACAGCTGGGAGATCAGGGGACACTAAAGAGTGACGCACACAGCTGGGAGACCAGGGGACACTAAAGAGTGACGCACACAGCTGGGAGACCAGGGGACACTAAAGAGTGACGCACACAGCTGGGAGACCAGGGGACACTAAAGAGTGACGCACACAGCTGGGAGACCAGGGGACACTAAAGAGTGACGCACACAGCGGGGAGACCAGGGGACACTAAAGAGTGACGCACACAGCGGGGAGACCAGGGGACACTAAAGAGTGACGCACACAGCGGGGAGACCAGGGGACACTAAAGAGTGACGCACACAGCTATGTAATGCTACCTGTAGATGTGTTTTTCTGCTAACAGAAGGTCATGTTATTCCAAAGCTGATGTTAGCAATGTTTTTCTACTTGTGAAATATCTCAGCGATGTGGAGCAGAGCAACTACTGTAATTCACTCACCGTCTCCTTCTGACATTTGCAGAGATGAGTGTAGCTATTCTTATAATGTCTGAGATCAAACATACACACACACACACACACACACACACACACACACATACACACACACACACACACACACACACACACCAAAATGATGTGCAAATGAGCCAATTTTTGGCTATTATAAACATTTGGGCCGATTAACTTTTGTATTTCTAACATGAATTTGCAGCTACAGCTGTCAGATCAATGTTGATGAATGTACAATTCTTCCCTTTGGAGTACAGTGTTATAGAAGGTATGACGTAGTACAAAAAATTATATAAATACTCAAGGACAAGTACCTCCAAATTGCACTTAAGTCCAGTACTCCCACCACTCCTTCTTCCCCTCGTATATTCCTCTGTTCTTAAATCAGAGGATAAATAAAAACCTGCTCGCTCTCCCTGTGGACCTTTGTTCCTCCTCTCTGTCTCACCTGCAGTCTTCAGGGATCAGATAAAGGAGGACATTCGTCTCAATAATTCATGTTAAAGAGACTTTGTTCACCGCCTGACCTCCTCCTGCTGTCAGCAGTTTGTCACAAAGACACATTCACTCTGAAGACAAGCTTTACTGGAAACAAAGCTGCAGGTTTCTAGAGCTGGTCGGTTCTGTTGTGATTGGTCAACCGCTTAGAGATGTCCCGCCCCTTAGCCTATCACGACAATATAGCCAATATGAGTGAGAGTGTTTCATAGTGATGTCACCATGTTCAGGAAGTAAACAAAAGAGTCCAATGGAGGAGTTTCAGACCATTTACATGCCTCAAAACTCATGACCTGCAAATATTGTTAGTATTTTTAATAGATTTATTGAATTTTAACAGGTTAACAAAATCAAGAAGGAGCATGGTACCAATATGTACTCCCTTTTTTCCATGTATTATCATCAAATAAAATAAGGTATAAATAAATAAATTAAGTCAAAGAAAAAAAAAAACACACACACACACACACATACACGCACACACACACACACACACACACACACACACACACACACACACACACACACACACACACACACACACACACACACACACACACACACACACACACACACACACACACACACAAAAGGAGCACGGAGCAGACTCAGGGTGACAAATGAGCATCTTTCTTTCCAGACAAATACAGATGACTGACACAAAGTTTATACAGCAGGCAGCCTGAGACACACACACACACACACACACACACACACACACACACACACACACACACACACACACACACACACACACACACACACACACACACACACACACACACACACACACACACACACACACACACACACAGATAGAGGACTCATGCTTTTCTCCCTCATTCTCCTTTGTCATGGAAATCTGAAGAGAACAAATTGAAATGACAAAGCGACGCCTGAGAAGAGAAAGTGAAGCAGTCTGAGAGATATTTTTGAAATCTGTGACCCAAATGTATAAAAACACAATAAGCTGAATGTGCTGTCGCTCCTCAGCTGAGTGACAGGAGTTTAAATACGAGACAAACTGACGTCTATTGTTGGGAAACACAGATTGGGCCTGAAATCTGTCTTATTTATCTTGTATTGTTAGAGCTCGCTGCCAAATAGTCGTGAAAATAATATTCCTTTTACAATGAAAACTGAAAGAGTCCTCTCCTGCTGATGTTCAGGTGTATACCAGTATGTAGTGTCTCTACTTTAAAGAGTCCTCTCCTGCTGATGTTCAGGTGTATATCAGTATGTAGAGTCTCTACTTTAAAGAGTCCTCTCCTGCTGATGTTCAGGTGTATATCAGTATGTAGTGTCTCTACTTTAAAGAGTCCTCTCCTGCTGATGTTCAGGTGTATATCAGTATGTAGTGTCTCTACTTTAAAGAGTCCTCTCCTGCTGATGTTCAGGTGTATATCAGTATGTAGTGTCTCTACTTTAAAGAGTCCTCTCCTGCTGATGTTCAGGTGTATATCAGTATGTAGTGTCTCTACTTTAAAGAGTCCTCTCCTGCTGATGTTCAGGTGTATATCAGTATGTAGTGTCTCTACTTTAAAGAGTCCTCTCCTGCTGATGTTCAGGTGTATATCAGTATGTAGTGTCTCTACTTTAAAGAGTCCTCTCCTGCTGATGTTCAGGTGTATATCAGTACTTTAAAGAGATATCTTCTCCCCAGGTGTCCAACCTCTACCTGTATGACAGCGTTTTGATGCTCGCCAACGCCTTCTACAGGAAGTTGGAGGACAGGAAGTGGCACAGCATGGCGAGTCTGAACTGCATCAGGAAGTCCACCAAGCCGTGGAACGGAGGCTGGTCCATGCTTGAAACCATCCAGAAGGTAAGAAGCTGGAAATAAACAAAGCCATGATATTTTAGGCACAAATGTGATGCTATTTGGCTACCATGACAGAAGTTTATTTGACCAATTTTGTTCATTTTTGTCTGTATTTTTTCTCCTAAACTCACCAAAAGTTAGCATTACATAACGCCTCACTTGCACATTTAGCCATAACCTCAGAAAGCGTATCTTTAAAGATTTAAAGATGAAACGACTAATCCAACAGTCAATCAAGAGAGAGCATTTATCAGAAACTTTTCTTAAACATAGGAATATTTAAAGCAAAAACATGATATTTGATGCACAATATTGAAGATTTACTTCTATACCATCAAGTCTTTCTGACGAGTGCAAAGAAAACAGTTTATTTCACCAACATTGTCTATTTTTGTCCGTAGATTTCTCCCAAAATCCCCTAAAGTTAGCATTACATACAGTAAGTCCTCAATAGCGTATTTAAACATAGCATTTGAGAAAACTTGTAATATATCAGAATAATGGTCTTAATGTTGGTGATGTTCTGGGTAAATTTCATGGTGATATCTGTTCATGTATGAATTCTATAATCCAGATCCTTTAAATAAACAGTTTTCTGACTTTATTAAGACTTTAAAAAAAATATGAACAACAACGTAACGTGTTTTTTCTCCATAAATGTCCTAATTTCCAAATATTTTCCACCTTCTTATTGAAATATTACACAGTTTTTCTACTAAGATGTTCTCCACCCTGAATTATTATGCCTTTTTTTCCTCCAAATATTACAACTTTTTTCTTTAAAGTGGACCTATCATGCTATATTTGAATAATATAGTGTAGGACCATACCTATATAAGGCATATTTATACTTTTTTCTTTTCAAAATACCAAACAGATCATGCATTTTAGCCATGCCTCATTTCGCTCAATGTGACAATTTCTAGCTCTGTTTTAGCAAGGGCTGATTCAGTGAGAACAGCACCATCTAGAGGCCTGGCATATGTACTACAGCGTCTCCAGCGCTTTCGAACGGCAATGGCCGTGGCTGTCTCCTCCTGATTGGTGGAGTTGGCCCAATAGCCGTAGCGCCACCGTCCTGACGTCAGGACAGTGTTCAAATCTGGATCAGTTTTTATCAGATCCGTTGCAGCCCCTTTTTTAGAGATTTGGGTATGGAGGAAAATAGAGAGGGTTGTGTTTTCTGACACTTGGTGAGTTCCCTGGAACACCGGGGACACATATTCATGTATACAAGACGTACACAAGTGCATTTTGCATGATAGGTCCCCTTTAACATGAACACATTTAATCAGCTTTTTTAATGAAATACTTGAATACTGTTAGTTACATTTTTACACTATTCACCTGAAGTGTCGTGATGCGTTCAGGGACAGATCACACCTCTGTAGCATTTATATATTTTTTTTTTCAGATGTCTCTTTCCTATTTCATGGCCTTGATGAAAACCTACTTATGATTCATTCATGGTTGTACAAATATTACATTTGTGTTCAATAAATGATGAGTATTTGTACTAAAGATAATATTGCAAGGCTTCTGAGCTCAAACAACAGCCTTGATCTTCTCCGTCTGATTCATCATTAAATAGCGCAGTGTGTATGTTTTCTTTCTCAGATGTAATTGACCTTTGAAGACGGATGAGAGCATGTTGAGGCAATCATTAAAGCTTGATTAGAAGAAGAACTCTAAATAAAAGAAGGTCTTTGTTAACATGCTGCTCGTGAAAACATGAAACGAGAGAAAAGCCATTCATCCTAAATCCTGACGTGCATCTGAATCACATCCAGAGACCTGCAGTTGGGTTTTTCTCACGGTCTAATTGGAGAGAGATGTTTTTTTGAGTCCCTCGGAGCACCAAGAGCTTCTGATTCATTTAGAAAAAACCTCTGGTTGTTTCTTTCCCTCGTTAACCGAGAGCTCGTTAGTGGTGTCTCTGCTTTTCTCATGTTATATGTAATCACTGCGGAGAACACATCTGACAGCATGTTGCAGACCTTTGATACCAACATATGTGTTTTAATTATCATCCTATAATCAACATTCATCAGATGTTACAGATCATCAATACAATACAATAGTTGTGTTTATGTTGGCGCTATCTAGCTAGTATAACATGTCTTCTTTTAGACAAAAAGAAAACATCCAAAATCCAAATGTAGGATTTTATTTCACACATTGTGTCGGTTTGTATCTGTAGATTTCTCCTAAATTCTCCACAAGTTAGAATCTAAATCTCATCTTAAAATAAAGATGAAACTATTAATCCAAGAGTCAATCAAGAGAGAGCATTTATCAGAAACTTTTCTTCCACCTCGGAATATTTAAAGCGAAAACATGATATTTGATGAAGGTATTTTGTTTTTATAGCATCATGTCTTTTGGAGAAGTGCATAGAAAACATTTAAACACCACATTTAGGAGTTTATTTCACCAACTTTGTCCGTTTGCTTCTCATAGTTAGGATCACCTAATGCAGGGGTCTCAAACTCAAGGCCCGGGGGCCAAATCCGGCCCGCGACTTCATTTTATGTGGCCCCGCAAGAGCTTGCAAAGAATATAATACGTTTATTATACGGTTACATGCTACTTTACAGAAGCACGTTGCCCATAAACTACATGTCCCACAATGCATCTCGTTTTGTGACATGCGCACTGAAGAGACTTGCAATTATTTGCCCTGGACTTCTGCTTTCAGACGTAGTTAATTACTAAGTTATTATCCTATCCGATAATAATCCAATTCAGAGGCAATAATGTAATATAATACATTATTTTATATATTTATTATATATTTATATAGTTACAACCGGCCCTTTGAGTGCAACCTTTATGCGAATGTGGCCCGCGATGAAATTGAGTTTGACACCCCTGACCTAATGCCTCATTTGCATATCAAAACATAACATGTAAAAAATCCACATTTATACATCCACATCTCATACAATACAATACAGCTTTATTTATAGAGCACTTTCAAACCTCCAGACCAAAGTGCTGTACAGTCAAACAAACTAACAAAGTCACATAGCTCAGCTCACACACCATGAAGCAAGTACAAGTACAAACAATAGACAATTTAAAAGCAATAAAAGCAACAATCTACAAGATGTCAAAACGCTGAGGAGAAGAGGTGGGTTTTCAGAAGCGATTAAAAAGCATCTGATCATCTGAAAACATATAAACAGTAGAGGTGATCAGATCTTTACTGAAGTAAAACACCAGGGTGGGAGGCTACAATCTTCTATAGTTTAAAGTGGACCTATCATGCTATATTATAATAATATAGTGTAGGACCATACCTATATAAGGCATATTTATACTTTTTGTTTTCAAAATACCAAACAGATCATGCATTTTAGCCATGCCTCATTTCGCTCAATTTGACATTTTTGAGCTCTGTTTTAGCAAGGGCAGATTCAGTGAGAACAGCACCATCTAGAGGCCTGGCATATGTACTACAGCGTCTCCAGCGCTTTGGAACGGCAATGGCCGTGGCTGTCTCCTCCTGATTGGTGGAGTTGGCCCAATAGCCGTGGCGCCACTGTCCTGACGTCAGGACAGTGTTCAAATCTGGATCAGTTTTTATCAGATCCGTTGCAGCCCCTTTTTTAGAGATTTGGGTATGGAGGAAATAGAGAGGGTTGTGTTTTCTGACACTTGGTGAGTTCCCTGGAACACCGGGGACACATATTCATGTAGAAAAGACGTACAAAAGTGCATTTTGCATGATAGGTCCCCTTTAAATATTGTACGTCTGAACATCCAAAACAAGAACATGTAATATATCTGATAAGCAACACATCAATCAATATTTTGTGAGGATATCATATTTAACCTCCCTAATGTCCATTTCATTTCCTCGTTGAGAAGCTTGCAGCGATTTCCCTTCACTTTGTATTCTGTCTCTGAACGATGTATATTAATCTCAGCATGATCATTTCTCACCCCGACAGATGAGCGGTGTCGAGAACAAAAAGCAGCTTTTTATCAAGTGTGGTGTCACGGTGAAAGACACGCCATTCCTCACAGAGGAAGAGGATGGATGCTTTATTTCATTTCTCTGTGATTCATATGTTTGCCGGGCTACAGTAGATACTGTCAGTCGCTGAGGGATAGCTGAGATCCTAAAAGAGAGACTAACCAACCAGGAAGAGACACAACATTCCCAAAGACACACATAGTATGACCACCAAGACAAAAGAAAGACTACGAGCATAATTTAAATAACAATGAGAGTAAAATAACTCAAAATAGATTAGAAATGACCACAAATAGACAGAAAGCAACTATGTTGAGTAAAAGTGGAAGTACTCAGATCTTGTACTTAAGTTAAAGTAGAAGTACTCAAATCTTGTACTTGGGTTAGGCCCCGTCCACACGGAGACGAAAACGAACCGAAGTCGATATCAAAAAAGTCTTCCATCCACACGAAAACGCTCGACCCGCTGGAGACGCTGTAGTACATATGCCAGGCCTGTAAGTGGCGCTGTACTTCCGCCACAAAATACACCAAAAGCAGCGAATAAGACCCCCCGAGCATGGTTGCCATGGTTGCCTGGTTGCCCTTCTGGTTATTCTCCGCGGTGGATTTAGCAACATGTAGTTCATGTAGTTCTCCATGTCCACTTGTTGCTGATGGTTGTGGTCGAGGAGCTGTAGATTTTGCACTAACATCTGTAGCATGGTCAGTAGCGTCTGGAGCACGAACGCAACCCTGTGATCCGTTGTTGTTGTTGTTGTTGGCGAAACATATCAGCAATGACGCGGGTGATGCGGGGGTGAGCAGGAGAGGTGGGGAGAGGCGGGGCTATGATCGTTTAGGGCGTACACACGGTGCCGCAAGCGTTACGTTACCAGACCTTCCCACTTTGGGAAGCGTTATCGTTTGAGGGCTCCGTTTCCGCGGCTCCGTTATGGCCTCGTGTGGACGAACCGTCCATACGATAAAGAACTATAGCGGATAACACCCGTTTCGTCTCCGTGTGGACGGGGCCTTAAAGTAGAAGTACTCAGAACTTGTACTCGAGTAAAAGTAGAAGTACTCAGATCTTGTAGTTGAGTAGAAGTAGAAGTACTCAGATCTTGTAGTTGAGTAGAAGTAGAAGTACTCAGATCTTGTAGTTGAGTAGAAGTAGAAGTACTCAGATCTTGTAGTTGAGTAGAAGTAGAAGTACTCAGATCTTGTAGTTAAGTAGAAGTACTCAGATCTTGTAGTTGAGTAGAAGTAGAAGTACTCAGATCTTAAATAGGTACAAATCTCCATCTGTTTGATACTGTTCATGGTACAGTAATTTCTTTCTCTAAAACACTCTGCATTGTATTGTATTACTTGATTCTGTGCCGTATATATTACGTGTTTATTTCCCAAATACCCACATGGTGACAGTTCTTCATTTCTTCTTTGTCTGAAGACAGATGGAGGAGTTGAAGCTTCACTGAGTTTCTAACAAACTGCTCACAAACCAAAGCAAACATTATCAGACGTTATTTCCCTCCAGGTGACGACAACCCTGACCTTTTGAGGCTGGCACACAAACATGTCCCTCTCTGAGAGAAGGGAGTCTTCAGTCTTGCTTTACATGGAAGTCATGAAGCGACATTTAATCCATGGCCTTTCAGAGGGAGAGAAATTCAGCTCTGGAACGAGGGGTATTTTGTACGACATGTCATAATGTCACACTGTACATTCGACACAGTGGCATCTGATCAACACAGTAGTCAGAAAACAGATATTCAATCAGGAATGAATAAAGTTTTGCAAGAAAAACGACAAAATATTGACCTCAAATGGATGCAAAACAACTACAAACAGTCCGGCTATGGCTACTTAAAGAGTTATTTAAAGGTGGGGTAGGTAAGTTTGAGAAACCGGCTCGAGATACACTTGTTGTTATATTCCATGGAATGCTCTTAACATCCCGATAGCAATGAATATCTGAAGTGCTTTGACAACAAATCCATAAAAACATATCATCTGTGGAAGCTGTAGTACTGTAAAAAGCACGACCAATCATCTGAGCCGGCCCGGCTAAAATAACTGGATGGCCTACCTGCCTGTCAGCCTTCCATCTGTGCACAAACTTATCTCGTGCCCTCATTGGTCATGTGCGCGTTCGTGTGTGTTGGAGGAGGGGCTCTGTAAGGAAGTGGCAGATTTTCTCCGGTTGTGTATTTTCAAATTCTAGCGATCTCGAGCTGGTTTCTCAAACTTACCTACCCTACCTTTAATCAATAGGAATAAATGCCAAATGTAATAAAGTAAGACATTTGATTAAAGGTGCTAACCTTTGCCATCATTTTGAAACCACACTCTTGAAATTAGTCTTTTCAAACCTCAAAAACCTTCAAAGTTTTAACATTAAAGTAATTTCCTGTTTTCCTGAATTAAAGAACATTTCCTGTTGTTCTGACGACTGATTCATTATTTAAATATCTTTATGGGAGCTTTTCTCTGTCTTTAAATGGCAGTTTCTTTGTGTATTTCTGTGCTTTGTGTCCCTGGCGGTCACCAATCTGACACCAATATCACAGCTTAGCAGCTCACAAAGCTTCATGAGACGCAGCCTGATATTAAAGGTGCAGGAAAGGGCGGCAGCAGTACATTTCAAAGGTCACAACGAGACAAAAACTCACGAGTCTCTGCGGTGATGAAGCCCTTTGTCCTCTTTCTTTGGATTTCTTTGGACTTTTGTCTTCGAAAAATCTTCCGCCGTGACGTTGACAAAGAAACTCTAAAGTAAAATCTGAATGCTGCCCAGTTTTTTGTTTGGTTTTTGCATGTCTACTTTGTGTTTAAACATCAAAGAGTCTACCAAAAGTATATTTCAATCAATAGGAATAATGCCAAATGGATTCAAGTAGGACCTTTTTTTTAAATGTACCAACTTTTGGCATTTTTTGTCAACAAATCTCTTGAAATGTACTTTTCTCAACCTTAAAAAATTACCTTTTTAGTATAAACCTAAAAGCTATTGTTTGTCGGCAGAAAAATACATCTTTTGTAGGGTGCAACATTTCTCCATGTCATCTTCGAACAATTCAGCCTCTTTTGTGATGTTGTTATTCAAATTATAAAGTACAGTTTTAGTGCCGCACAGCTTTTTTTTGCATTTCTTAGTGTTTAAACCTTGCATTTTTGCACTGTAACATATAAACATTAGGCTGATATTATTACTATTTGTAGAATAACATTTGCTTCATGCCATCTTATCGACTCATCCCCCTTCCTCTTGTCCTACTCTCTCCTTTGTTACCTCTTATTTAACATCTCCTCCATGTCCTCTGTCTTACTGCCTCTCTCTGTCACTTCATTATTTTTTATCTGCAGGAGCATTAAAGTTTACACTACTGGCAAGGCCTCTTTTACGACGGGTACAAGATCAAATATAAAGTAGTCGTTCATTTCGGCATGTTCCCTTCATGCTGCAGTGTGTGAGGCCTTCACACTGAACAACTGTGTTTAAAATAAGAGTGATGAATACCACCTCTGCCCAACATTAGCCACCTTTAGCTTAGCGGTGGTGACGTGAAGTCATGTGACCGTGCTGTAGTTCCTTTATAGCCCAACATTAGCCACCTTTAGCTTAGCGGTGGTGTCGTGAAGTCATGTGACCGTGCTGTAGTTCCTTTATAGCCCAACATTAGCCTCCTTTAGCTTAGCGGTGGTGACGTGAAGTCATGTGACCGTGCTGTAGTTCCTTTATAGCCCAACATTAGCCACCTTTAGCTTAGCGGTGGTGACGTGAAGTCATGTGACCGTGCTGTAGTTCCTTTATAGCCCAACATTAGCCACCTTTAGCTTAGAGGTGGAGACGTGAAGTAATGTGACCGTGCTGTAGTTCCTTTATAGCCCAACATTAGCCACCTTTAGCTTAGCGGTGGTGACGTGAAGTCATGTGACCGTGCTGTAGTTCCTTTATAGCCCAACATTAGCCACCTTTAGCTTAGCGGTGGTGACGTGAAGTCATGTGACCGTGCTGTAGTTCCTTTATAGCCCAACATTAGCCGCCTTTAGCTTAGCGGTGGTGACGTGAAGTCATGTGACCGTGCTGTAGTTCCTTTATAGCCCAACATTAGCCACCTTTAGCTTAGCGGTGGTGACGTGAAGTCATGTGACCGTGCTGTGGTTCCTTTATAGCTCAACATTAGCCTCCTTTAGCTTAGCGGTGGTGACTTGAAGTCATGTGACCGTGCTGTAGTTCCTTTATAGCCCAACATTAGCCACCTTTAGCTTAGCGGTGGTGACGTGAAGTCATGTGACCGTGCTGTGGTTCCTTTATAGCTCAACATTAGCCACTTTTAGCTTAGCGGTGGTGATGTGAAGTCATGTGACCGTGCTGTAGTTCCTTTATAGCCCAACATTAGCCACCTTTAGCTTAGCGGTGGTGACGTGAAGTCATGTGACCGTGCTGTGGTTCCTTTATAGCTCAACATTAGCCTCCTTTAGCTTAGTGGTGGTGACTTGAAGTCATGTGACCGTGCTGTAGTTCCTTTATAGCCCAACATTAGCCACCTTTAGCTTAGCGGTGGTGACGTGAAGTCATGTGACCGTGCTGTGGTTCCTTTATAGCTCAACATTAGCCACTTTTAGCTTAGCGGTGGTGACGTGAAGTCATGTGACCGTGCTGTGGTTCCTTTATAGCTCAACATTAGCCTCCTTTAGCTTAGCGGTGGTGACGTGAAGTCATGTGACCGTGCTGTAGTTCCTTTATAGCCCAACATTAGCCTCCTTTAGCTTAGCGGTGGTGACGTGAAGTCATGTGACCGTGCTTTGGTTCCTTTATAGCTCAACATTAGCCTCCTTTAGCTTAGCGGTAGTGACGTGAAGTCATGTGACCGTGCTGTAGTTCTTTTATAAGAGATGCTACCTTCAGGGTCCATCACAAAAACCACCACCTTTATCCAGAGATGTCAAAAGTACACACTTTACTCAAGTAGAAGTACAGATACTCGTGTTTAAAAATACTCTGGTGAAAGTAGAAGTACTGACTAAACTTCTTTACTCAAGTAAAAGTAAAGAGGGCTTTGAAATGTACTTCAGTAAAAAGTACCCATAACTAGCAGCTGTTTTAAAGAGTACCTGACCTCCCTTTATATTAATAGAACAATAATGTCATTGTTAGCTAATGAATGTTTCCATGCTGAACAACGGCAACATGACAACGTTTTCATTGGTCCTTCTTCTTTAGAGAAGACCAGGAAATGATGGATACACGGATCGTGTTCAAATCAATAGGCACGCAATGACTCTAAATAATAATGATCACGCCACAAAACACACATTCAAACTAAAGGAACCAGCCTGTTTGGAAAATGTGAGAAGTAGAAAGTACAGGTATTTGGGTTCAACATGTAAGAAGTAGAAAGTACAGGTATTTGGGTTCAACATGTAAGAAGTAGAAAGTATAGGTATTTGTGTTCAACATGTAAGAAGTAGAAAGTACAGGTATTTGGGTTCAACATGTAAGAAGTCAAAGTAAAAAGTACTGATACCAGAAACATGTACTTAAGTACAGTAACGAAGTATTTATACTATACTACTTCCCACCTCTGCCTTTATCCTATCCTCATATAAAGTCACAAAAGTTGTATATGTAAGTAAATGCATCTCTCTCTTCTCCTGCAGGGTAACATCACAGGTCTGACAGGTATGATGGATTTTAAGGACAGCGGCATCAACTCTCACGTCCAGTTTGAGATCCTCGGCTCCAGCTTCAGCGAAACCTTCGGCAAGGACATCAAGAGGGTGAGTTCACAGCGTCTCAAAACCCAACGAACCGTGAAGAGACGGTGCGAGGGCGACATCGCCTACATGTGTCAAAGCTACAAATATTCACACTGACGGGAGGTTTTGTTTTGGTCTGACGTTGGTCTTTTTCTCAGCGAGGTGGGTGTGATTTTTCAGTGAGATGACAGTTCATATTCAGCAAAGGAAAACTTGAAAACTACAAGTTTAATTAGCTTATAGCAGCTAAAGGGTGGATAAGCTAAGCTTCACGGATATTTGCACATATTTAATAAGGTGACATGCTTTTATCTTTCGTGGAAGAGGTTCAAATATATATTTAGTTGAATTTTGTACACATTTTGTGGAGTTTTGAACACATTTTGTTGAGCTTCAAATTTTTTTATTGAATTTTAAGATATTTCATAATATGATAAGATATGTTGTTGAGTTAGTTAGAGAAAATGTTTTTGGTTGGATTTTTTAAGTTGATATTTGGTTGCCTTTTAAGACATTTAGGTAATAATGGTGTTTGTCCATTTCTAACATATTCCACTTGGTGCAGAATTGTCCCTTTTCTTTGCGCTTCACTGCAAAAACAGTCCAACACACACACACACACACACACACACACACACACACACACACACACACACACACACACACACACACACACACACATATACCATGTATACATCACTTCAGGGGACATTACATTGACTTACATGCATTTCCTGGAGACTTATCCTAACCTTAACCATAACCAACACATGCCTAACCCTTACCCTTACGGGCCGTCTCCACGGCAGCGTTAAAAAATCTTGAAACGCTTCTGCCCATTCACTTTGAATGGGGTGACGTCACTTTTTTTCGCTTTCGCCGAAATGCATTGTGGGCAGGCGAGCGGAGATTCTCAGGATTTTCAAGATCCAAAGTTGAACAATGTTCAACTTTTGAAGCTGAGGAGGAAGCGTCAGCCAATCAAATCCCGTGTACGCAAATCTGACAGTTCAAGCTCTAGCCAATCAAACGGCGTGTATGCTGGGAGAGACAGACCGCAGGTCATTTCCTCATATTCCAAAACATGGAGGAGAAATTAGCGGTAGCGAATCAATCACCCGGTGCTTTATGACCAGACCTACCGGGATATAAACCGGAGGAGCCAGGCATGGAGGGAGGTGGCAGAGACAGTGGTATGTTTTCGCCTGTTTTGGGAGTTTATATCCAGTTTACTTCGGGCTTTTTGGCTTCATATGTCGCGGGCGGGAGATTCATGTGATTGGTTGATCGCAAAAAAATCCCCAAGCCTCAGATACGCCCACCTCCAAGATTTTTTTAACGCTGCCGTGGAGACGGCCCGTCACTCTTACCCTTACCCTTGCCCTTACCCTTACCCTAACCAAGTAATAATGAACCAAGTCTTCACCCTAAAATTAATGATTCCCATTCCCATTATGTCCCCATAAGGGAGGCGAGTCCCCACACGTGACTATGTAAACAGATGTAGGTCCCCACAAGGATAGTAATGCTAGGACACAGACACACACACACATGCACACACACACACACACACACACACACACACACACACACACACACACACACACACACACACACACACACACACACACACACACACACACACACACACACACACACACCCCTCAGTGTTAGCCTGTCAGCGCTGCCTCTCTGTACAGAGGAGCTGCTGGCTGTTGTTGTTGTTGTTGTTGTTGTTGTTGAATGCCATGTTGAAGCCGGCAGTGATTGTTTTCAGGGGAAACAGACTTTCAATCAGTATTTCTAAAACCCTGGCAGCTTGTAAACGTTGTTGTTTGTCGCTAACGGGAGAGCGTGGATCCGTTATGGAGGATTTAAAACTGACGGTCTTAACTGGTGTTCAATTCCTGAGATTCTTCTGTTTCAGTGAACATGAAAGATGATCACTTTCAGATGTATTTTTGTTGTAAACCAAATTGCTTTCTGGGAAATGTAGGAAGACAGAAGACAACAGTGCCAGGTGAAGTGAAGTATACCTTAAGATAACTCAAGTTACCTTGGGAGATTTTTATCTTTTGTGAAAGAGGTTTTACATTTTGAACACATTTTGTGGATTTTTTAACACATTTTGTTAAGCTTCAATCTTTTTAAAGGGGGTTTTAAAATCTTTTTTTAGAATTTTAAATAAATGTTGTTGAATTTTAAGATTTTTTATAATATTGTAAGATATTTTGTTAAGTTAGTTAGTTCAAATATATTTGGTAGAATCTTTTTTGCTGATATTTGGTTCGGTTTTCATCATGACATTTAGGTTGTAATGGTGTTTGTCAATTTTTAACATATTCCATTTTTTTAAGTTGTAAGAAACTGTTGAGTCGGAAGATATTTAGTTTATTTGTGAGATGTTTCTTTGAGTAGGCAGTGATGCAGTTTATTTTACTCTGGCTTTTATTGTGCATCAACATTTCCTTCACAATGATAACTTACCACCATTATTATGTTGCTGCCCCAGTGCCTCCTGGGAGATGTAGTTCTTAAACATCACGTTCACAGCACTGCGTCTTCCTGAGAAATAAAGATCATTTATACAACATCTCTCCTTCATTAATATTTCTAATCATGGCAGAAGTTGTTCATCTTTATTATCAACGCTCATGTTGAGTCCCGTAAACCAATCAATATTAAACAGGAAGTGGGAGGTTTTAATTAACTCTCCGAAGACTTTCAGTCGTTCCCCTGTAAACGCACGTGGGCGCCATCTTAACGCAGATTAATAGATATGTAGAAGTGGTTATAATAATAACCAGTATTCATGTCATCACCGTGTATCTTCTGACCTCAGCAGGACGCTGCAGGTGTTTATTATAATTATAATGATATGATGTATTATTATCTTCATGTTCACGACCTCTGTGACGCACAGCGCTGCCTTCATGCATTATAATAACATTTGTACTGTTTTATATAACATATTGAATACATTAATACAAATAAATATAGAGATATAGATCGGTTAAAAGAAAGATTCATAAATAGGGCCAGTTTACAAATACATTTATATGTTATGAGATCAATTTCAAGACTTTTTATTTTTACTGTAGATTTGACTTTAAATGCTTAAATAATGATTTTTATTTTATTTGTATTTATTGTCCATCCATCTTCTCCCGCTTCTCCGTGGTCGGGTCGTGGATGTATCAGTTCCAGCAGAGAGCCCCAAACGTTCCTTTCCCCTCATCAACCAGCTCTGACTGGGGGGTCCCAAGGCGCTCCCAGGCCAGCCAAGAGATATAATCCCTCCACCTGGTCCTAGGTCTACCCCTCGGCCTCCTCCCAGCTGGACGTGCCTGGAACACCTCCCTAGGGAGGCGCCGAAGGAGGAGCGGTTCAACTCCGAGTCCCTCCCGTCTCGGCCGCTTGTATCCGCGACCTCGTTCTTTGGGTCATGACCCATCCTTCATGACCATAGGTGAGGGTAGGAACGGAAATGGCCCGGTAGACAGAGAGCTTCTGGCTCAGCTCTCTTTTCGTCACACGGTAAAGCGACTGCAGTACCGCTCCCGCTGCTCCGATTCTCCGGCCCACCTCACGCTCCATTGTTCCCTCACTCGAGAACAAGACCCCGAGATACTTGAACTCCTTCACTTGGGGTAAGGACTCAGTCCCTACTTGGAGAGGACAGTCCATCGGTTTCCTGCTGAGAACCTATTGTATTTATCTTATTTTATTTATTTATCAAAATTAAATTAAAATTAAATATATTAAATAATTTAATAAGATCAATAAAATAAATAATGTATTTATCTTATTTTATTTATTTATTTTATTTAGATTTTAATTTATCTTATTATTATTTTAATTTTATTATTACTATTTTTTATTGTCTTTTTTAAATAATAATAATCATTTTTATTTTTAATATGGTTTTCAAAGAAGAAAAGTAAATGTGAGGGAGTTTAAAAGCATATATAACGGTTAAGATAATAAAGCACCTGCACAGAAACATAATGTAACATAAAGACTTCATGCAAACCTCCCGTTGCTCACTAATGATCATAAAGACACGTTATTATTCATAAACAAAGCACGAGGGCTCTCTGGTGTATTTCCTCACACACAATGATAATAATACAGATACTTCTTAGTGATGGGGGGATATTAATAACCAGATTCTCTCACATTGTTTTATAATATAATTAAATACTCTAGTGTGACTATAAACTCCGATTTAAAGACTACATTATGGTGCATTCAGGTGCTCCTTGGATGCTGAGTGAAGGTGTGTTTTAGTTGTTTTTTTAACGAATGTTGTCCCTTATTTACTGCTGCAGGACAAGCTGCCAAAATCCCCTAAAAGACCCTCAAAATGTTACTTTACTAGACTTGTTATCAGGTGTTACGTTCTCTTATTGTCTGGGGTAAAGGGGAAGTTACGAAATATAAAATAACCGGGCGAAAGGAAGAACGAGGAAACTGATTTGCAAACTTAAAAGATGTTGTTTAATTAATGAAAAATAACGAGGGCTCACTTTCCAAGTTACAAAACAAACTGAAGGCCAAATAAAACAACTTTCTTACAAAAAAAAGTGACAACAATAAACACTATAAAAGAACCAAACTAATGCTGCGTTCACACCGGACGCGATGAGAATATTCGCTTCGCTCTAATCGCTCGAGTTTCACCGCGGCTGCCAGCTGTGTTTACTCGCATCATTCAAACAGGACGCGCTGGCAAGGGGGCTACAACTACAACAAGATGGACATATTTGACCGTGATTTAATTGTAATACACGTTTCAAAATGATGCCGAAGTAACAACATACTGATACCGGTTAGTAAAAACCATGAATTAATGCTTTGACAAGTCTGCAGACAGACGGCAGGGGAAAAACCTTTTAAAATGCGTGTTTTCTAAATGGAGATTGGCTAAGCTAACGCAGTATATGCTCCGACCGTCCACACTCACAACAACGGCCTATACAGACATAAATAAAGCAGCGACTGTACTCGCCATGACACAG